CCGTTGCCGTTCCTGAATTAAAATTCATTGGAATCTACAAAAAAGTTACGGTCATATGAGTGACTCTGGCAGGGTTAAGCATGGTTCAGAGATGCAGTTCTCCATTGCATGACGCTTTGTGCTTTTGCCTTCTTGAGTCTAAGAGGTCCGACCTAGCCGCGTTATTCAGGCAAAAACAGTAGCAAGTCAATTAATGCTTATGGATTGATAAAACCCGAGGTGAACCCCCCGCCGGCCACAGAGTAGCCCCCGACGTTGGCCCCTACCGAAGTACCCTTGCGATCCCTCCTCTCGTCGTCCATAGACCCAAACAGGAAAAGCAGATCTGTCAAGAGGTTAAGAGCTCGCGGCATTTAGCGATTGTTTGATTTCCCAGGCGGTAATTCGTCACACGCGCTGGCGCGCGCTCAAAACATTACTCGCGTGTGCGACGTGCGCGCCACCGGTCGTCTTCTCCCAGTAAAGTTCATCGTACCCTTTGCGAGGATACGGTAATGGAAAGATGACATCTGTCGAGGAACATTTACTTCACAGCCATTATGAAGAATTCAATGCCCTCTACCACCGTAAGCTCTTCTGAACTTTACCGTCTGCGCTAATCGGAAAGGAGCAAGACTTACAGATGGCTCACAAAGGACTGAGACGTCATGTCCCTTCTCAACTTGACCCGTGCGCATGATTGGCTGTTGCCTGGGAAGTCCCACGGGCCATAAACTCATCCACATGAGCTTCAAGTAATTAGCGCTGACAGCTCTCCATTGCATTAGTATTTGATCCAAGAAAGGGTTAATCGCAGGTTGCTAGGAATCGAAGATTTTACACACCCCACAGCGGGTCCCGATGGTCCCCCTACCACGTAGGGATGTTACCTTATGATCTCCTCAAAAGCACACTAATACGACCCCTCGTTGGTAATATACTAACGGACGGTTGACTTAGGCTATTTCGCCCATTCAAACGGCGCCCATACTTGGGCTACTTTGGCCTCTAATTGTGCGAGCCTACGACAGCTATATATCTATAATCTCGTAGGCACCAGTAAGGCCATATGGAGTCGCTGCTAAAGCAGAATAGCGTGCTCACGAGACACTGGTATCTAGAACAGTTGTGCATTTGCAGAATTGACAACTGCGGACAAACCTTGAATAACGTGTTCCTGAACCAATGTTTGATGACCTTTTCCGGTAAACCTGCTTTCAGTGACATTTCTTTGATTTGACACTCCGAAGGACTGTTGTTGATGTCAAAGTACTGCCTGGAATGTCGCTGAGCTGAATGGGCGTGGCTCCCACTGCACAAAAAATTGAACTGACCGCAAAATTTTCAACTGATCGTCTGTGATTCTCGTTCGAGCACGCTTTGCTGGTGAAGATGACAGCTGCTGCATCTGAAATAACTGTGCGGGGTAATTACTTGAGGGCTACAGCTATGAAGGTAAAGGCGAACCTGTTGGGCCATGAGCGGATTGAAAAATTCTCCCATTCCGGGCACAAATCCTCCGAGAGGATTCGGCGGTAGGAACGGAAAGCTGCCCATCATGCTTAGCATAGCCATTTGAGCAAGATCAGGCTTGGCTGCGTCTGAACGGTAAGTAGTCAGGGAATTATTGTCTATGACATTTAAGCCCATCGGTCTGAGAATCAAGCCCTCTGGCGGCGGCGCAGCCCGCATGATAGAAAAAAAAAGAGAAAACACCAGGAAGCACACCATCAGATGGAGAGTATCCTGGCCGACTTTCAGTGGCTAGACCGCGTTTTGTCCTGACCCCTCCTGGGCTTCCACAACTGCCAAAAAAGCTCACCAGCAACATTGGCTTCGGATCGCGGTCGTTCTCAGGTGGTTCGCCATCCGCGTGACGACCGACTGGCCGCGGGCGACAGGTGATGCCGTTGGTTTGGGTAGTGGGAGCCGCGTCGGGAATCATTTCACAAATTCGCGCGCCCACGACGGAACCACCGAATCCGGCAGAGTGCTCGAATGGACGACGTCGTAGTGCGACGACAGTGCCTAAAAAATGGAATAGCTGTTTTTTTTTGATGATCGCTTCGTTGGAGGAGCTCATCCTCTCCACCGCGGAAAACTCGCCGTCAAATTGGCGCCGGACGGCGCGCGTAGAGTCACGTACTGCGCCTTTTGGCGCGCCTTCGTAGAGAACAGCAAAAGAACAAGCGGCAGTCGCGCTCGGTCACTCAATGCGCCATTTCAGGAAGAAACATTCAATACACGAAGAAGCACCGGCTAACATTTCCATTCAGGCTTACATATTTAGCGCTTCGGGGTCTCATCAAGCAAGGGCACAGGGGTGCAACAGTTGCTTCCCATTTGTGCAGTAAAGTTTCCCTCACTTGTGGGGGAAATTTCCGGTAACGTGAACCACATCGTTCCCGCTTCCCAAAGCCCCTACCCCCCCCCCTCCTCCCCCCTACCAGCTTCGTCCCCCTGAGGAAAATTGGATTGCTTCAGGTATATGAACTGTCGCCCTACACGGTCCCTTATTGGATGAGACCCGACGCTTCGCTTCCGAAAACCACCAGTCCACAGCCATCAGTGTGACCGCTCATGGGAGCATAAGCATTCCGTCGAGCACCCAAGGGCGCGAGGTAGCTCGGGGAGGGGGGCACCACGTAACATCGCGTCAAGATCACCGAAACGCTCCCTGATGCTTAAGATTAGCCCTAGATGACTTTTTTCAGAGTGCCCCCCCCCCCGAGCCACATTGCGCCCAGCCAAGTATGGACAGGGAGCACATCACGTCTTTTTTTACCCCTTTCTCAACTTACCAAAATCGACGGTAGCCGCTCGGAGCACTGCGTGCATTCCACGGTGGCCAGGGTTTCTGCCTGAGCGTCAGTGAGCTCGCCTAGTCGCGACAGCTTCGAGGCCACCGATGGCGACACCGCAGTCAGCTTCTCTTCCCCAAAGCTCTTCACCATTGTCACCAAAGCAGCGGCACTCTTCGGTGCGGTAAATTCTTCGTCAACCTCAGGGGTGTTTCCTGAAAAATAGTCGTCGGATTTTGTGTGCAATCTGTTGTTTCGTATCAAACTACCTCCACTTGACGTCGTCTGTTGTTGTGAGGCAAATGGCAATTGAAGACCAGCATTCTGTCCCATCAGCATGTTCATTATGTTAAACATGGTCATCACGTTCTGTTGTTGGTGGGCGTTTGATGGCTGAAATTGAAGAGGTGTTTAATTTGATTTTTTAATCCATTGACAAATATTGAAAAGTATTGTTATGTAGTCCTGATTAATTGAAATGAATCAGAACATGAAAAAGTTCAGAATTGAATAATGATTGATTTTCGTTGGATTTTGATGGGGAGCTCGTAATTACTTCGTGTGGGGGATACGTGTGTCCACAAACATTTTTGTGTGTTCATTCTGGTTTTGGGGGACCACTTAGGGT